AAATGATATTCCCCCGTTTCGTCGGGACGTCCCGAAATAGCGACGGTATTTTCCGATCCGGTATATTCCTCCCTTGGTGGACGACGATTCCAGAAACGACCCTCCGGGAGGAATCCAAAGGCACCTGTTCGCCAGGCTACCTATACCGTGACGGTGAAACGTCGAGACGCATTGAATTGTAGCGTCGGTTTTAAAATCGAGTCCTCTACCCGACCTCGGGGCATCTCACGTTCGTGATAAGGAATCCCTCGGTGTGCGCGCGTGCCCGGAAAGGTGCCCAGCGATCACAGGTGGGAGATTTCCTCCGCGTTCGCGGGAAATCGCGGCACAAGTACGGAGACAGGCTAGGCGATTTGTTAGAGGCAGATATCCGATCGATCGCCGCCGCCGCCGCCAGGGAGGGTAATTCGCCGTGAAAGTGACGAATGCCCGCGCAGCGACGACGACCGACAGACTCCGCGCCGGGAACGTCCCGAATGCACGTTCCCCGAAGATTGCGATTTATCGCGAGATCGCCGCAGTCGAGGCGGAGTAAACGTCGAGGGGAATGAATGCGACCGGGTCCCGCCAACGCGCCATTAAGGGTGCACGGAGGCTCGTCGCGTCCCTTCTATCGAGGGTCCTCGGTCGCTGATTACCCGGGGACTTTTTTTTTTAATAAATAATAATAAAAAAGAAAACAATATGCTGGACGATTCCGAAAGGTCGGGGGAACTTCGATCCTCCTTGGAGGCGCACGGGGGTGGTAAAAATGCGAAGACTCACGCATGCCGCTCCCAAGAATACGGCGGTCGGTTTCATTAACGCGCGGCGCATGACTGTCCGCTTCTACGCCATAGAAAGCGAAAGACTGAGGGATTAAGGGGGACACGGCGGACAGGTATAACGGAAGACGACGGGAACCGTCGAGGGCCCCTGCGATTCGTCGCCGCCAGGTGAGCGGAGAGCCAGGCCTTGCCGTCCGTAAATTCAGGGCGAATTCGCTCTCGTTCTCTCGGAAGGTCGGCGTCGATCGGCCACCGGATGTTCCGGTAGACCGGAAAGTCCATTGCATACCGTCGGACATATGTACCGAGTGGCCCGAAGTACGTTGTGCAACGAATGTACGTACACGTATACGTACATAAATATGATATATCGCAGCGACCGAAAGGAGCCCGCCCACAAGGGTGATTAAAAAGCTCTTCCGGCTATCGTATATAATTCAGCGTACCCTGTAGATATCTACACCCGGGTAGAAGGTACAACCCCAAACCGAAGCATCAAACGCGAGGACTCTCCAACGACTGTCGATAACCAGGTTCTGTAATCCACTCCCTGGTTCCCTCGAGCTTTCGTGCCGTCGAGCTTTCCTCGCCGAGAAGAGCCCTGCACGAGTGGCGACCAGCTCGGTCGGTGAGACCCAATCAAAATGGGAATTATTACCAGGGAGAATTTTCTTTTTTTTTTTTGTAAAATATCTCTAATTATCGTTTGAAAATTCGAGTTCGAGCGAAAGCTCTATTTTTATTTTTTTTTATTTTTCCACCAGGACGTCGGAAGGAATTTCCCCGGCTCTTCTGTCGGTTACCCTCAGCGCGCGGCGGCGATAAAGCCTCCTCGTCGATACTTCCTTACCGACGGGTCAGATTTCCCTTATCAGCCCCGCGGGCGAAAGAAAAGACAATCGGACGAGTGGCGAACCGCGAGCGGAAAGTTTCCGCCTCTACAAGGGCCTTTTTATAATGAGCCTCGTCGAGAGACTCTCGCACTCGCTTCCTCGAAGTCGCTCGCGAATTCTACTGCCCCGACCTTATTTCCCGGGACCTTGATCCACTTTTTGGCGGAACACGTTTACGCGTTTCATAAGGATACCCGGCCGGCGATGTCTCGCTTATCACGCGCAGAAATAACGCAGACGACAGAGAGAGAGAGAGAGAGAGAGAGAGAGAGTCTGGCCGAGATCGAGGCTCGCAGACTTGCACTTTGCTTCGCGAAACTCCTCCGTTTCTCTCTCTAGTCGTATTTTCCTCGTCGCAGTCGTTAAGATTCGACGCGCGTCCCCTGCCAAAGGAACTTCAAACAGCCTGCGACCCACGACGACCAACGGCGGTTCTCTAAACTCTCCTCCGTGAGCGCTGACCACGTAACGCGAGCAAAGGACCGATAAATTCCCCGTTAAAACAGAATAACAGCTCGATAGCGCCGGAAGTACCTATATAGGATCAAGCTTAATTTCCAAAAACTCACCAAGAGACGAGAGCGTTCGAGGTCAGAGGGTCTTAGAGATCCATGCAGCCTCTTCCCTGGACCCTCCTGCGGTATCGGCGTGATATCGCGGTATCCACCTTTAGGGTCCTCGGAAGTCCTTTCGATACGTTCCTTGGATGCGATAAAAATTGTGCGAGGTCCTCTTCCGTTTCACCTGGTCAATATCGGTCACTCTCACTGGCACTAAAACGGCACTTCGTCATGCACGGAAACGAGCGGTCTACTCTCTGCGTCTCTGAAAAGGACCGATAACGTCCGGTCGGTCGTTACCGCCGAGTCCTGGTCCGAGTGCCGCTGAGTAACCGATAAGCCGCGTCTTCCTTGACCTAGGTCAATCTCCGCACGGGGGCTCGACCTTGATCGAACGTCCACCGATCCTACGCCTCGGATCGACCGAATCGGGAGTTCTCTCAGGCGAGGTCGCCACGAGGTACGGCACTCGGGTGTACGTAAGAAAGCGGTTTTCGAACAACTACGAGCCACTCCGGACGTAGCGTGTCTTTCTCCCCTGTGGGCTGCATCGCGGCCTGCCGTGGAGAGGGAAACGGCGAAACGACAAGTAGGAGAGACCGCCGAGCGGGAGGGGAAAGGTTCGGCGAGATAGATCCAAGATCCGAGTGCTCCCTCAACGGTCGAGATCCAGATCTCGAGGTCCAGCGTCCGCGTCGTGGACCCAGCTCCCCGAGGTCGACGTTCCTTGTCGACTAGACGCCCCTGAAACCGGAAAGAAGAGACGTCAACGTCGAGTCTGCGACAACTGGACCGAAACGTGGACTCAAAGGCCGTCCAGAATCTGGAGCCGACGAGTTCGATGGGTTCGACCCAGATAGCGATGGTAATAAAAAATGATTCAGCGATTACCTACGCTGGATCTCTCCTCTCGGCTTTGTTGTGCCTTTGTCCTCGCGACTCTCTTCCCTTGCACCTGTGTTTACAAACTCCTCTTGCGTTGGCCTCTTCCTCGAAGCGGTGATTTTCAAGAGCCGAGGCGAACCGCTGAAATATTGAGGTCGTTTACCCGAGGATGACGAGCTCCTCGGCGCTGAAAGAGGGCGAGACGTTAGCAAACTTGGAAATTGCTTAGGACGAGAACGTTTTAGCGCGAGCAACAAGTGTCGCAGCCTTGGGAGCCGACCAACGAGCACGGCTGAGGACGGGATCGGATAAGAGCCGGCGCATTCCGACCTATCGGAGGACGGAGATTAATTCGTTATCGCTGGTTAAAATCGCGTCGCACTCGGCAATTTCGCGGAATAGATAGCCAGTGGCAGAGGATTTTCGCGCGCGTGGTAAAAGGGAAAGGGAGAGAAAGTTCCATGCTTTGGAAAGTACCGGTTAGGGACGTGTCAAGAATCGGGGCCTGTCCGACTTATCCTAACGCGAATACGTAACGACGCGACGCCGGCCGGTGCTCGAAGCTCCGGAACTATCCAGAGGCGTCCAAACGCAATGGAGCACCTTCAGGAATCTGGACAGAGCGGCGATTTTTCGAAATTAACTGCGGGCTCGCGAGATTCGGACGGGCCGAAGAGAACGCGGGAGAAGAAATTCTCGCGTGCGAGCAACAAGTGTCGCTGGAAGACTGGGCGGCTGGCGCGGCGCGGGGTGGCGCGGCGGTCGCACAGAACGCTCGAGATAGCAACCTACCGTCGGTTCGAGTCGCCGCCGTCGCCAGCGAATGGCTCGCTATTCTCGTTCCTAGTCTCCCACTCGGTCCCGGGCCGATCATAGCGCGGTTACACTCTCTCGATCGTGCGGCGGCTGCGAGTCCTGGCTCGAACGCGTTCGAACGCGATTCGAACGGCCCCGGGCGCTCCTCGACGGGGGGAACCACTTCGCGGCGCTGACGACGCCATCTTACGTGGCGATCGCGAAGAACTACACGGGAAGACATTACAGAAAATTTCAGAAAGGAGAAAATTATTGAAAATGCCGAGATGCTCTCATTACGACCTGGTTTAGAGGTGAAATGATTACCCGCTTCGTCCTGTTTCGGTGGAATTCAATGGAGTCCAAGAGAACGCGATTGAACTTGTCGGTGCTTGTTGGGACGCCATCTTGAGGTCGGACGAAGTGTCGTTTTAGAGAATGCCGACAGTTGGTAAAAATTCGTTGAGGGTAACGGGTTAGTGTTGTAGCTGGAGAAAGGAAAAGCAGAGTGTAGGAGGGTAGGAATGGTAAAAAGAACCGGCTGTGAATCGACAAGGCATGCTAGATGAGAAATGAACCGCCGTATTATTCGCGTTGAATCATAACCCCTAAAGCGAGATGAGGCACGTCGTCATATGAAGTGGACATTTTGAGGGACTATTAGAATATTTGAGAGACCTCGAAATAACGTTTGAGAAGTGGCTGAGACATCAGGCCAGAGATAATCTCTTGAAGTGACAAATTACGATGATGGACGAGGATTGGGATCCGAGTATAACATATTTGAAGCTTGAGGCGGACGCTATCGTTAAAGAGATGAGTGGCTTCGTATCGGACATAGCCATCTCAGAAAAATTGCCCACCTCGAACCTACAAGTACACTTGAACCTTACCACGTTGGAAGGCTGTAAATATTGTGTCGAAATGACCCATACAGGTTTTACCATTGTTGGTAACAACTATGACACAACTACGGATACGTCGAAGCAAGGTTTTGAGACTCTGTACAGCATGCTCAACTATGTCAGTCCTCGCTACAGACATTGCTTTAGCCAGGTACTAATAAACAAATTATCAAAGTTGACTTGAATAGAGTCGTCACCAAGCGATGCAAGCAACCGTCCTGGTAACCTTCGTAAATATCTTTTTAACGACGGTTGTGCAGAGCGTGACGAGAACTAGCCAATGAGTTCATAGTTAAGATTATAGATTTGCAAAAGGTTTTGAAGGTTCGTTAAACTTCAATCTCTTTTTTGTATGATCTAGTGCTAAATTAAATATCATGTGCCTGATTAAATTTAATACGATAATTTCATCTGCAAGAAATACATACGGAAGTTAACTGTATAGTGAAGAAATACTAACAGTTATTAATGATGCACCAACGCTGTATAAATTTACTGAATGGTAGGCTAAGAAGACACGATATGCTAGGTAGGCTAAAAAAATGTGTTTTGTAGACAAGCTATGACCTGTTTCTTAGAATACTAAAAACTGTATTTTAATACTGGTGATGACTGGTCGAGTGTATTCTATTTATTTAATGGCATTTTAGTGTGCCATATACGAGGGCAGTGGTTAAAGTTGTAGTGCTTGAAGAGATTATACTAATTTAAAGGACTGAATTATATACGTAAAATAAACGATATTAAATTTTGACGAATGAAATTAAAGTCTTGACATTCAGTGGATACAGGCAGAGAGGTATATAGATTTCATGAAAGTTCTCAGTGATGGCAGCATCATCGCCTTCGCTGCATCGGCAATATTCCGACTCATCTCTGCTGTCAACTCATCTTTGTTTAACATTCCTTTCCCTTGGTCCACCCTCAATCTGTTCATCAGTGGGTGCGGCACTAAGTACGCGAGAAAAGGTGGCACATGCTCTCATGATTGGCCCGCTTCCTATGACGCTGCTCTTCGGGATATAGTTTCGATTTCGAGGAATGCTCGTGCACTCCGCAACCCTTCCTGCCATACGAGTTTCCAGATACCGCCATGCATTTCTCGTGTAGCGTTGTCTTTGTCGCACTCGTTATGGCAACGAGAGACCAGTCTCCCGGTAGGCAGGGTGGGGGTAGCAGAATAGGCGAGGTGCCGGGAAACTGTCCGATCGGTGCTCCCTGCTGCAGCCGCGTTCGCGTTCGTCGTGGCGTAGAGGAGCAAACAGGAACGAAACTACGTTCGGTGGTTTTGTCTCCGGGTTCTGTGTCAGTCCGTGCACGGATGTTCGACAATGGCATCTTGACGCGACGGTGGTGCTCCTTCGCGCCTCGGGCGTGAACAAAGCAAGGACGCGTTCTCTTGTCCGTGTTGTGTTCGAACGAAGTAACTGTGTCGCAAGTGGAGCAGTTTTCTTGTATTTTGACCAGCTTCGACGTGCCCCAAGTCTGACCTCATACATTTCGTCGTACCGTTCCCGTTCCCTGTCCTGTTCCTATTTTCGACCTGTCTACTCTTGTATCAGTAACCAACTACTCTGCAATTACAATTCACCCCGTCGATGACGATTCCACGAATGCCGAGACGAAGCGGATCACTCGGGAGACTCCTCCAAAGACCGTCACCAGGTACTCGACCCGTACAGGTTTGACAGCTATGATCTCACGGTTTGTTTTCTTCCTTGTTATCAAAGCTCTCCCTCCTTCCTGGCGTATTCTCAATTATTACTCCCTGCAATCCATGACGCATGACCCACCTATCGCGGCATTTACTTAATTATTTGCCAAGATTTTCCTGTTCCCCCACAGGTCAGGCGCCTCCTCTTCATTCGTTGAAATTACTCTGTCGGCTTCATTTAAAATTTGATGAAACGTCATTGTTGGTGTTTTTTATGCCTTTACTGTGTTTATCAAATAATTCTAAATTTGCACTTAGATTCGTTTCTCATTAGTTCCTTGGCTCCCAGTTATTTTTCACTCATTTTTCCATTCAATTTATTAACTCGTTACAGTTTGTATCCGAAAAATAATTGAACATTGTTGACCGTCGGAAGACATTTTATTCGCTTTAATATTACACAATAGAAATTAGTGAATTAATTGCCATACTATTAAGTAAACTTGTAAGAATGTCATAAAAATAGGTATGAAATATATTAAAGTAGGAACACTTATCAGTTCTTGGGATATATTGTCATCTATCGTAACCATCGATCTTATCTGCCCAATTATTTTATCTTTTGCTTATCTTGGTTACTCATCCGTACTTATCGAATGCTCAGTTTGATTCATACGATCTTAAGCAAAGGGGTCCAATATATTTTTATTTATTTTAGGAAGAGAAACCTTTCTGGATAAAACGGACACAAGTGATACGATGCTCATGGATGTTGTAACATCCTTTAGCGGAGAAAGGAATGGATAGTCTGACGGTAACATCTTCAAGCAAGAACAGCTCCCGCAGTACATCACCCAATCGGGGAAGTGCCTCGACGTCCCAAGGCCAACACCACTCATTGATCAACCTGGATCATACACCGAGGTTCCGTAATGCCACTGTATACGATAATTGTCTATTATTCACTTGTTTTAAATTAATTTTCTAAGCATATGAAAATTTGTGTTTATTGGTAATATTTGTTTTCCATTAAAACCTAAAATTTCTGGAATGAAAGAATTTTGTCTTAATCAAAGACTAACGATATAATTCATTTGTGTTATAACTTTAAAATATATCAATTATCGTTACAAATCAAATTTTCATTAATATACAGATATCTCTTTCTTTGAATTAATTTCTTAATTAGCCTTCTACTAATGCAGTTAGGACTATATCGTTAAAGGCCTAGTTTGCACATATGGTCAGAAGAGTTATCACCTCGATTATAGAAGACAGTCTGCTCTTTGTAAATGAAGGGTACAGTTCAGTTGCAAATCTCTTGGTCTTTGTACAAAAATGATAAATTTTGACTGCAGCTGGCAATGAGACCATTAATTATTATTTAACTATTCTTAGAGAGGTATATACCCCCGACTACTACTCGGATGAAGATGACACTTTCGAAAGGCAAGATTACAAAGTTATTAATAGAAGTGCAAATGGCAAGTCTAGATTGTGCTCAGATACAAATTTGCTAGTTCCACACTTTTGCTTTGTCTCCAGAGAAAGTATGTAACTCGTTACATTTTAAATTACTGGCAAATTTAACGTTTAATTTAAATTAATACAGGAATGCTTCCTAGTTGTCCAAGTCAATCATTGCCAATATTAACATTAGGTTCTGCACTTCCCTTTAAACTATAGGCCACTCTGCTCGGATTGCTAGTACCAGTGCCAAGATTACTTCATAGTTGTCAATTTTAAACACCTAGGCAGGGGCAAAAGTCTTCACAGTGGATTGTTTATTGTTGACGAGGAAGTTTTATTAACATCGTGTTTCAGGAATCTCGGTGATTGGGTATCTATTGCATAAAAATAATTGTTTTAACCTCTTACATGCATGAGTTTTTTCTCCTCTATTAAAATTGCAAATCATCCTACTACGATACAAACTCATGGAGGAATCCATGGATAGATAGCGAGATCATGCAAACAATGATTGTAAACACGTTTATTTTGTTGATTTAAAAGAATACATTGTGTTGTTACATCAATTAGTATTTTTTAACTTTTAAAAATCTTTTAATCACAGCTGCCAGTCCGGAGAAGGGAGTGCAGGCAGTGGCAGCAGCGGAGGAGGTGGTGGAGGCGGTGGTGGCAGCAGTATAAGCATGAAAGGTGGCAACAGGCAAAGATCTCCAGGGGCCCTAATACGCACAGGCGATACCATGGACGAGCCAACTACCAATCCAAACACTGCCGAACCAGATGAGTTTGTGCCAAATGTTCGTCTAACAACAGACGACGAGGGAGTATGTAACATTTACGAGTGGTTTACACCCCTTCTTACATTTTTCTGCTGAAGTGAGATAATTGCGTGCATATTCTGCAACATGAAAATGACGTAGCACTTTTTTTATACCTGGACTTGGTGTCCTCCTGGGGATTCATTTTCCTGAAAGAAATAACACACATTATCCAAGCGGGTTATGACAATTAAGATGATAACAGGTCTCATGGTACGGACTTATGTAAAGACACTTTCATAATACATCGGTTATGCATTCAGAGAACTTCCCATGAGTTTGAAAGAATCGACCTCTAGGGTTATAGGTCAACCGATGAAGTAGTTAATTTGCATAATTCTCTGGAGAGAGAATTATGGGTAGCTGCTTCTCTTAGGGCGACTCAGTCCCAAAGAGTTTGATCTCGCATACTTCTAGATTGTATTTCACAGTTGGCACGATTGTACCGACTCTAAAAGGACGTATTAAAAATGCAAGGATAAGAAACCCAACTACTGAGAATATCAACCTGTTAGAATGTTAGAACGTTCGTTTAATTATTCAAGTACCTGACTTACGAGGGAAACAATTTAAACCTTTCTGTGACTTTTTTCTTTTAGGAGGCTTATCATACCACGCAATCGTTTCTTTCAAACGGATCATCGGAATTAATCACCGATGACGTGGATTCCGGCGGAGCCCGAGTTCGTCAAGCGATTGAACACATTCAAAGTAAAATCGCAAAAACTCGGGAACTTATACGGATAGAACAAACTACTCGAGATGGTTAATATCAACTAAGTATTACTCTGATTGTGATTTTCATTTTATTTAACCGAATGGCATTATGGAAACTTGATATTTATTGAAAACAGTGAGTAAACTTCGATTGCATAATAGAAGCTCGCTTGTCAAGGCTAAAGATTCAGTGATATACTATTCGATTACTGGTCTAGCGATACGTTGAACAGAAATATAATCTCGACACCGATGTCATGTATTATTTCTTATCATCAAGCGTGATGTATTATTTTTTATAAATTTAAGATTTTGTTTTACTATTGTGAGTAAACCCTTATACTTGTTGTTTTTTTTTTTTTTAGAGAATGTTAACGAGTACTTGAAATTAGCTGCAAACGCTGACAAACAACAACTGACGCGGATCAAGACAGTCTTTGAAAAGAAGAATCAGAAGTCAGCACATAGTATTTCACAATTGCAGAGAAAACTGGACAGTTACACCAAGAAACTGAAAAACTATGAGATGAATGGAGCACCAGCTAGTCATCGACAGCCTAGGGAAGTCCTTCGAGACATGGGACAAGGACTCAAGTGAGGATTCTTTATTGCTACTATAAATTATTAATGTCCTGTAAGGTGAAGGAGAGTAGGAGCACATTCTGTTCCGTAGTGTATTGTTTATCAATTATTGAGATACCTGATGTGTACTGTCTGTTGGAAGTAATTTACTTTAAAATATTTGGCGTAAACTTCTGCAGAATCAAATGAACGTACTAAACCAAGTAAAGCTTTGTAAATCTTGTTATCCGGAGTAGGAGTAGACCTTAAATTTTAGGTAAATTTGATCCCAACCTATCCAATAACTTCTGATGATCTTTTGAGGCACGTATGATGTGAAGTCCGAGCAAACTGCTAAATTTGCACTACTGTCGATAAGGTCACTAACACTTCCCGCAATGTATGACTAGAAATTCCTGTCTAATTTAAGACTCCCTTCCAGAAACGTGGGAGGCAATATTAGGGACGGAATCACTGGTTTTTCAGGGTAAGTATCCTTACGAAAATAGATTCCTGTCGCTCCCTCTCTTCTGCCTACCTCTTCCTGTTCGTTTTCTTCTTTCCCTCCGGGAAAGCGAAGGAATCCTCGAAAATGGTTGACTCACGCACAACACTTGACAGCGTAAAACGCCTGGCAGTGAGCCAAATGTCAAGGCCGTTTCTACCAGTGCTAACGCGTATAGACAAAGTGTAGATTCATTTCTTACTCAATGACTCACCAGTAATCTAATTTTCGTGGAACATGTAGTTGAATCATGTTTTGAATCATTTACAAATTGCAGTTTTCTTTATATGTTTGTAATGACTGTGTATAAATCGATACCTAATCTATGAAATCTATCGGACTATTCAATTTGTAAAACAGACACTACTTTCGCATTTTCCGTTCTTCTTCTATGTTTCAGAAGTGTAATGTCCAAGCCTCGAGAGTTTGCGCACCTGATCAAAAATAAATTTGGCAGTGCCGACAATATAAACACTTTATCGCGTGAGTACGACGATACCTTAATTCTCGCACTACCACTCGCACTATTGTACTTCTGCAAGGTGTAACGAATTGTATTTGATGTGGTGAGCAGTACATTAATGCTTCCAAGTTTTAACAAAAGTATTTACTTTTAACGACACGGATATTTGCACCGTATACCATTCTATTAAGTCAATATCTATTTTTAAAATCAACTAGCAGCACCATGCGTTTGCACCGACAGGGATAGCTTCATTTCCTAGTAACTAGTAGAAAGTTGTTAACACATTGTAACAAAAGCAACACGAAATTCGAAGCTACTATGCTTGCACCATACAATAAGTCAACACTGAAGTATTGACAAATAAAAAACTAAGTTTTCTTCAACATTTTTGCGCTACCGCGGCAGTCGACAGTAGTAAGTAACTCACAGTTGAATTGATTGTTCTATTGGTTTTTCAAGTATAATATCCTCTGCTTCTTTTACTTCGCAAGAATGTCTATTTCCATTTGGTATTTTCTTTCTACGTAATATTTCTCATAATACGTAATATTAATCATTTAAGGATCACTTCTCCTTTTTTTTATTCATACTGCTCTGACTTGTCATTTATGAACCACGAATCTTCCGATGATATTTATTCTCAATTTTCGTTATCCAATACTAATTTGTCGACATAGCGCTCTTTACGGTCAAGTTTTGTATTACTGGACTGCTCGAACCTTCTATCAGCTCCTGCCCCGTCTTGTAACATTCCAGTAATGGTACCTTTCGAATATTCATACTTAATTATCTATTTCTATTATCTTTAAAGTATATTTTCTTTTTGAGATACTTTCGAAATTAATGGTGTTACACTTTGCTGAACTGCTATCGCAAGGTCTCAATGATATAACGTTCTTTTCGATCTGCCTTTTAAGAAAGCCTATGTCCTGGTATTGGATAACCTCTAACTGGCGACCCCTGTGCCTTCACAGATGGCTCAACTTTTTATGTAAACGATACACCACGTGCAGGTAACGGTGATAACGGTAGCGTTGAAGATGAGAAAACGCATCATGGATCTGCGACTCTTCCGGGCGGTTGCAGTTTAGTACCTACTCACAGCAGTGCGGTTATGAAGTTCCCTTCGGAGGAGGGATCAGAATGTTCCAGTGTTACCAGCGAAAGTGTTCCGGGGAGCAGAGGACAGCCTCACGCTAGTCAAAGTAACAACGTTACGTTCAGCCTGAAGACGATCTTCTCGGAGCTTCAGGTTCACCGGGAAAACCTCGACCACATGAGGAAGGAACTTGATAATCTGAAGGTTGGACTCGATGCGCGTTTTATTGATCGCAATTTATTTATGCTGTAAGTGAAAACACCCCCAAAATGATTACTATTCGTTGATGCTTCAGACTCTTCAACAAGAGGTGGCGGATCTCACGCATGCCCTTCAGGAAGAGAGATACCGATCGGAACGACTGGAAGAACAGATCAACGATCTCACAGAACTACACCAGAACGAGGTAGAAAATTTGAAACAAACCATCACGGACATGGAAGAGAAAGTGCAATACCAGAGCGAGGATCGGTTGAGAGACATCCATGAAATGCTAGAAAGCTGCCAAACGAAAATCTGGAAGATGGAACACCAGCAGCAGCAGCACCAACAATACGTTACGTTGGAAGGACTGGATAATAGTAACGCGAGGGCATTGGTTGTGAAATTGATCAATGTCGTTTTAACCGTGCTGCAAGTAATTCTACTTCTCGTCGCAACCGGTGCCGGTATCATGATGCCTTTCCTGCGAACAAGGTACTTCCGTGTGTTGATACTCGAAATTTCTTTCAATATATATTCTTAATGGCAACGAATTTACCCGAATAATTCTACTCCTTAAAATAAACATCGTCGCAATGTGAAGTTAAATGCCACATTCCATAATTCGTTTTGTTTATTTTAACCGAGCTGCATTTATCATATCACCGACTCATTGAACATGCTTTTTTTTCTCATCCTTTTGGTTTTTTTCACGTCTCTGTTGCAGCTGTACTAAGCCTCATTGTTTCATGTGCAGGGTGCGCATACTAACCACCACTCTCGTCGTGTTGGGCGTAGTATTCGTGCTGAAGCAGTGGCCCGAAGTGCACGACGTAGGCAGTCATCTTATGCGCCGCCTCAAACAGACGCTCGCTGTTAAGTAGCATTGTGCGTACTTCTACTCACTTTGTGCGAAATGAGTATGAAGGTCTCGTGTATTCACGCATCCATTTGTTTTAGGGTGGGATACTTAGATTTAATTAACCCACTGGTGCAGCCGGGAACTGTTGAACGACGGTTTTCAATTTTTGAATGTCTTCAACCGATGCAACACCGGAGCAATAAAGAATATTCGCAGTGTGGTTATTTTGTAAAAACAAGTTCAAGACAACGTACGTGTCGATTGACTGATAGAAACTGTTATCACACGGATTATCAAGAACCCGAAGAGTCGCTCTGAAAGGCGTTCAAACTAATAGGCGAGACACGATATCGACCGAGTAAATAGTTAATTATAAATTATCGTTAAATAATTTTTATTATTTATATATATACCGAAAGTAGATCGATTGTACCATACGGTTAGCCTTGTAATGGTACTTGGATTTCCCAGCATTATGACTCTTCTCTTAGCAGACGCGAAAGAGGTATAACGAAGATCGCGCTGAAGATTCGCATTTGTAAACGTCGCGTTAAACATTAAGCTTACAATGAAAACCGAAAAGAGACTTTGGACGTTGAAATTCATTTCGAACGAATCGCGCTCATGATGGTTCAAGTTTTCTATTTGAATCGGTCCTCGGCTTACGCGAAGAGACATTGTTCCGTGTACACGTGGCTAGCCTTAGCTGCGAAACAAATAATCGCAATCGTCCAAGTGCTAAACAATAATGTAAAGAATAGGTTCTTAATGTGAAGAAGGGCACGTACATCCTTACTCCAGTAGTTGCCACTCGGAGAAGTGTAAAGCAGTATCGCTTAATTAACGTTTATTGTTAATCGTATGATTGTGTACGAAAGGGGTCACGAGGAGTCGTGAATCTAAAGGAAAACGGAATAATAAAACTGTGCATTTTTGGGGCACGGTTTTATGCGAAATTTCGGGATCGACCATTTTAAATAGGGGGAAATAGTCAACATCCTGAAATTAATGTTTGTACGTACATCTCACGGATAATTAGCTCACTGCAGATACCGAATTTGAGTGTATACTGCGCTTGTTTATCGGCGATTGTAAGGAAACGTTCCATGACAGATTATTGAAATGAGAGAAAGACTGACTGGACTAACCGATAACATCTTTAATGCAACCGAGAAGCCCAGTTTTCCAATTAGAATTGTCGATTCAGGGAACACGCTACACCTGATTTTACTTTGACTCTTTCTTCAACTGGAAGGCTGGGCCTCTACTGCGGAATGACGTGTTCTAAGGCTTCGTGATAACAACGTACATGTGATGAGGTCAATGTTAAATTCGGCACTGTGGACCTTTATGCACTCTCAGTAGGGTTAATTACGTTGGAGCAATAATCATTAAATTAACACAATTTAATGTTCTCAATTATATTCATTGAACGCAATTCGTTTAGTGTCTGTACGAGTCCACGCTGTTAAATATTTTTACAGTTAAAGGTTCAACGTTAACGACGAAACGAACGACTGGGACTGGGATGTTAAGACTTTGGTATAGCGAAACAAATACTTATTTAACATTGATTCCACATTGCATCGATGCGAAACATTCCCATTGTCTAACGTTAAATTGTTTTGCTTCGAGGAGCACTCAACGGCGTGAATAAAAAAAAAATTATATCGTTATGACCTCTCGCGACGAGGTCCAAAGAACCAACCTTTGCACGAGAAAATATTTAACGCTCTGTGGGATTGCTGTACCGATGTATTTACGTGCCGCAATTTAGATTATGTCGCTTCGGATATAGCACTAAGATACGCTATTTACTTCTTTCATTATTATATTTACGTAATTGCCACGTATCTCTCCAGCACGAAAAATCATACGATCGTATTAGTTTTTCACCGGATTGCATTGGGTTTACAGAGGTGATAGGACTTATTATACAAACAATATTTAAACCGCCGTTGCTCAAGCTCGTCTACACTTTTTCAGCTGTGAACACTTCTCGAAATCTCTTGAAAAAATTTCCGCGTTGTACTAATAAAAACCGAGCACTTCCACCAAGGCGATGCACAAATTCAGTATTACACGCGCGATATATTGTTAAATGCAATGAAAGGATTTTTCATCGTGACATTGTTTCAAATACAACTCGGCTGATCATCATGCGACTACTCACCCTATGTATAGCTTCATTGCCATTCATTATATAAATAAATATTATTTATTAGAACTGGACGTTTCTTTTGCTTATCGCGTCTTGATGCTCGCGGATCATTAGTTTTGCTGCATTAAGCGCGATTAATGACCGCGTTTTACATACTTTGAGATAGATGCAATATACTCGCAACATGGATACGTAGTAAAAAATCTTTCATTGTCTGGAGCTACATAAGTTAAAGATGTGTAAATAATTTATTGATATCGAGCGTCGTTAAGGCAGAAATTTTATCTTATTTTATACTAGAACGTACGATTACGTTTTCGCTTGTAATGGCAGACACGTGGCTTCTAATTTTTAATGGTTATCGAGCGATTACGCGAGGTGGCTTCGACAAATGGGAAATGTTAAAACACTTCTCGTTGGTGCATGAGATAACGTGCAGAAGAGAAACGACCCGCTATTAGAAAAGTCGGAAACTTTCCTCGGCGAATACCCTTTCTTCGTAGCTGCAAAGGCTTTTAACACGTTCATTGATTTTATCCGCTTCCCTCGGAGAAATGGAGGCTACTTTATCGTTAGAATAGTCGATTAAAAGTACTCTAAAGCCAAATTTCTGTGTTCCTAATAAGTTTATCGTTGCTCTCTTAAATTTTGTATATTCCGATTGCTGTGACTACGCTAAGTCCCTCGACTTGAAACTTAGTCCGCTAAGAATCGTTTCTGGGATCAATATTATAACCGTATTGAGATATCGAGGCAACATTTATCGTGTATCTGCCAAATATTTATAATTTTCTATCGAGCTATATGTCAAGCCACGTTCACGCGTTGTCTGACCGAATATGCGTACATAGGACGAAGCAAACGGTGATATACATATGTACACACACATTAATGTACACCAGTTTTAATTGTAANTATATATATATCACGGCAAAGTATCCAGAGTGTAGTTATAATAAAATTGTAGGAATGATCGGATGTTCTTTTTCGATTAAAGAAGTGACCGCCGAGATTTCTCTGGGTGCCCGTTTCACCGTAACACGTCCGTCCTCGTTCATCGAGAATCGTTCGGACGAGTGCCATTAAATGACAAAAAAAAATGAAAGAAAAATAACATCCCGCGTACGACTACGATTTAGTCGGTGCTTTGTAAAATACGTGACGTTAGAAAATGTACGAATAATAAGCGTAAGATTGACGACAGATATAGGGAGGGCCCCTGCTGATACGCTTGCATTATCATATGTACGGAGTTCGTAGCGTAAAGTCAAACACCGTAGTTACGACCTTGTCATTAAACAACGATGGACGTATTTTGTACTTTGTATCGTTACATTTTTCTATGAGTTTTTCGCCTTAAGGCGATTTAAGGTTTTATATATACATTTGCATTTTACATGCCGTTACCTCGTGCAGCGATGAATACGCATATTGACGTTTCACCGATTCGTTGATAACGCGCACTCTTCAATGCGTTATCGCATTTGATTCGCTGCTACGAGATCAGGGGCCCTGCGTAGAGCTACACGGCAGAGATTAGGTTCAGAATACCCGTGGTATTGTCATTGATGCCTTGCATAGTTAGATATAGCAGGAATTACGATATATATATATATATGTCGTCGATTCGTAGGGACGTGTCCGTTTAATCGCAGCCATCACCTGCGCGCGATCCGTTGTGTAGGTCGCACGTAAAAAAGAAGCAACAAGCTCGGTATAATTAAATCCCCATTTGCACGAAACTCCCGCGGAAATCTTGAGCACCCGAGGCGAATGTCCGATTCGCTCTTATATAAGTAGAGGAAATAAAATAACGATGGCAATCGATGACACGCGTTACCTAGTTCCGTAGAGCTAGAGTAGACCGAGCCGATTATGCGGTTGCCCTCCTCTTCGTAAAGAGTGGTTGTCCATGATTCACGTAAACATGTTTTCATCGATCGTTCGCAAAAGTGAAATGCAATACCAGGCACGCGCCTCTCGCCTGTACCAACCACGTTATTATTTAATATCGCCAGGAATAAAATACATTTTTGGTAAAAGAACTACGGCTCGACGTTCCTCTCTTTCTTTCGGTTATTTTCTTTGATCGGTAAATGATTATGGATTTAAAGATAATGGAGAGCTCAACTTCCGGGGGATAGGGTATGGATAACAAAGCCAGCTTATGAAAATCGTTTTATTGTTCGGTAATGTTCGTTTACGGGGAGACGGTAATAACGATATGTATACCGAATAAATATTATCCGTGTAATCTTATCATGAGTAAAATATACTCCGACTGATTTATTCTAGCTCTTATAGTAACGTTTCGAATTAGTATTTACATGAGAATTCAATGTTGTCTCCAGAAGACGATGCGTCGGTTGTCGTAACTAGCCCATGGTTTACCGATGGCAATTGTACAAGTCTGGTCCACGATATTCTCGAGCGTTTTTAGCGCTAATCCGGGCGCTACGAAGTACTCGTTATTTTACAGAAATATCCTTTTGCCTTCGTTAATCGAATACGTGATGGACGCGCGTATACCGTGCAAAGTTAATGCCCTCGATTTGTCGGACAAAAAAAAAACGAAGCACAAGCGCTGTTTATTCTACTCCATGGAGGAATTACAGAGTATCGTATAAAATTCATACAAAACGACATGCAGCGGATTTATTCATTATCCCCACAGGATAATAATAAAAACACTTAACCGATAGCGAAATATCGATTTCGATATCCGACGTACAGTATAAATGTACGATGATACAGGGAAACTCGATAAGAAGCGAGAGGAAATACAAATTCGCGTGGGAACAAAAAATGAATAATGGTATTGGGAACCTTTTTATCTTTCGCCCTCGTTCTGTACACGATCCGGTCTCCAAAGGAAGATAAAATTAGATACTGTCAGAATTTGAACGAACACTTATGTACAAGATTTCAGTCGTCTAAAGCCTTTAAAATGAAAATATAGAATGTATCGTAGAGCACATAATTGTTACCAATGTCATCGGAATTATCTTGGGTATCCTGAAATTGAACGAACCAATACTTGTAGCACGATTCCATGGTCAAAGCCAAATGGTTGCCATGGTGCAAAAGAACAAACAAAATTGATGGCCGTAACTGTACAAGATCTACCTACAGTAGCAACGACTTTGTTCTCTTGTCAAGCACCGCGGGGCAATGCGGACGATAAATGCAAAATTATAAATTCGCTCGGTTGGGTAATAAAAATCGATAGAAGAAAACCGTCTTGTTCCTGTATTAAGCCAGAGGTGGCGTTTCTGCTAGTCAACAGATCTCGGGGGGAACACTGACAGTTATAAATACGAATATGAACAGGCAATACTTACGTGCGTATAAAAAGAAAATACAACCGTATCCGAAGTGTATACGTATGGCGTCTCCCTTTTGTCATCTCCATATTATTCCTAGCTAGATTTAACTTTATCAGTCGATGCGTTTCTCGAGACCACGTGCTTGGGCTAATCGGCAGTGATCCGAATGCCTTCATGAGACTCCCGGAGGACGATCTCTGCAGAGTGGTTATCCTTGACTTCAGACTCGTCCCTTATCACGGGAACGTCCTTTTGCGTGGTCGTCACGGGGACCTGATGCTTCTTCCGGTGGCACATCATGGTCGACCGCGAGACGAACGCCTTGCCGCAGACGTCGCATTCGTAGGGTCGTTCTCCGGTGTGCAATCGTTTATGTATCGCCATTGGGCTAAATTGGGTGAAGGTTTTCCCGCAGACATCGCACCTGTAGGGTCGTTCTCCCGTATGAGATCTTCTGTGACATCTCAGGGCGGCTCTCCTGGCGAAAACTTTTGCACACATTTCGCATTTGAAACTTTTCTCGCCAGTGTGCATGGTCGAGTGTATTCTGAGATCTACACGGGTCAGGAAACCCTTGCCGCAGACTTCGCACAGATAAGGCTTTTCACCTGTGTGTATACGCAAGTGCGTGTTGAGGTAGCTTTTGCTGACAAACATCTTGTTGCAGACAACGCAGGGGTATTGACGATTGTCCATGCCCGAGTGGATCTTCTGATGACTCTTGCAAAGTCCTTTCGTTATGAAACTCCTACCACAGATTTCGCACATGTAGGGCTTAACTCCCAAGTGCCTGTTCTGATGGTCCAAAAGAGACTGCTTCGTTTTAAAATTCTGACCACACGTGCTACAGGGATATGGTTTTAGATCCGAATGAACTCGCTGATGCACTATCAAGTAGCTCTTACACTGAAAACCTTTGCCACAGGTCGAACAGTTGTAATCGAATTGTCCAGTATGTGTTGCGGTGTGCTGGGCAAGACCTATTTTGCTGCGAAATGCTTTTTCGCAAACTAAACATTGAAACGGCTTTTCACCCGTGTGTTTGCGCATGTGTTCTTGCAGCTTATAATTTGTTCTGTATTGTTTACCACACTGTGAACAAATTTTAGGAGTCCACTTTTGCCTAGTCGATGGCTTCTTCTGCTCTGTTGCCGTGATGGCATTCGCAGTGGAATTATCCACGTGCTCTGCTTTCTTATCCTCTTTGTCAACCTTACTTTTGTGGAACTCGCACTGTTGCTTGTGAATGTTTAACACTTCGACACTTGTGAAGTAGAGGCCACACGTGCAACAGCAGAAATGTTGCTCGAAATGAACCATGAGGTTGTTGGGCTCCATCGCTGCCTCGTTGCAGAATGGACACACGAACCAATTAGATCCTGTCTCGTCTATCGTAGGATTGTTTAAGATCGAGTTCAGTAGAGCATGTTTTGCTGATTTTGTATATTCTACCATAAGACTAGAATTCCCAGGGTTTACTCGACTGGTGGAAGGTATCGTGTTTGCATGTAGAGAATCGCTACTTTCTCCATTGCCATTTTCGATCACCCCGGAATTATCGATCTCACGGTCAATTTCGGTATGGGACGAAGGGAAAACGTCAGAAGCCACCTATATGATAAACCAAGAAATTGAATATCAGAGACTAGACACGATCGTTATTTTCACATATGTATTACGACTTAGACTTACATCGGTTTCGATGGCACGTGCAGAGTCTTCCTCGTTTAATCTTTCTTGCAGCCTTTGGTATTCATCTTTAACTTTAAATGTGTCGTCACAGTAGTGAACAATTCGATCCCCATTCTGCGTATTGGAACTAATAGATGTCACGTAATTTATTCCTAGTTGACCTAAATGCCCTTCGACTGTCAAATTGCCTACTACAGCCATATCTCCTTCCAAGTGCATTGCTATCTGATGACCGGATACCTGTAAAAACAAAAATTAAGTCTTGCATGTAAGAAATTGTTTCAAGTAATATTAAAATACACACTTCTCGGATGTGCTCATCGACCATTCGAACAGCCTCGCCATCCAAGCAGTCAATTCCCGTGACTTGGATATCAGCATCCTGATGGCTAATTTCTTCTTGCGTAACCACCTGCTCTCCTCCAGCTAGATCCATGTCATCCATAACTTGCATGGTATGCATCGTGCCTTCTTCTGGTTCGTGTTGGCCATTGCCAACGTGATTCTGAATGCTTTCGATATCGCTTTGCATTTCTCCGATGTTTCTTTGAATTCTACTTATATGGTTTTGTATCACGGGTATTTCTTCGACTTCCTCTAACGTGTGATCGATGCATACAACTTCTTCTTTCGCAATCTCTTTAAGCATCTCCATGAATATCCCTTCCGTGTGTAGACACTTTTCACGGAAGTCAAACAACTGATCCAGCTTATAGGCACATTCCTCACAGACGACTTTAGGTAGTTGATCCGTCATCGATACCTATAAACAAGAAGCATCATTAACAATTACCTTCCTTCGCATCTATGATAACGTTACAAATCGCAATCGTTCGCTCCATTATTTATCGCAACTATGATACATGCATTTAAAACAGCTGAGACCTTTAACAATACAAGTTTATTCGTAAACACATGGATTTAAAACAGCTGAGACCTTTAACAATACAAGTTTATTCGTAAACACATGGATTTAAAACAGTTACGATTAAGTCCAAGAAAAATCAAAGCAGCAGTCCATTGATGCCGATTCTCGGCGTGGTCTCTCGATCGCGTCAAGACTCACCCTTACGGGAAGACAAGCGGCGATCTTCTTGTCTATGTTTCGCATCTGATCGCCCGCTTCGAAAATAGGCAAGCCCATCAGGATGCCGGTCTTCGTAGCGCAGAGTCGACAGAGGTAATCGAATTCCTCCACGACGGCCATATCGGCGGACCGAGGAAATCCTCTTTAATCGTCTCTTGCCGAGATAAAACCCGGCCGGCCGAGGTGCGAACCTCTCTTCAGAGATCCCGTCCTTCAACGCACGACGCCCTCGTGAAATTCGACGGAGTGGTGATGTACATCACGAGATTACCATTTCTACATGCAAAGCACCGTTTCATAAAACCCTCGATCCTCGCATCTCCATCGTCCCGAAGGGATGTATGACACCACAGACCGAGCAGGTGTGGTGAACCACGGCGATGGAGGGCAGAAAATAACGGAGATGAACTTCAGCATTAACACTATCACAACCGTTGCATCCAGCACTCCTAGCGGACAGCTGAGAAGTCATCGATCCTACTAATTTCGCAACTGGAATCACAGTACGGAACCGGATTGGTTAAGATATAACCAATAATACGTGTGTATTAATAAAAACAAATTGGAATATTTCTTTCATTAGATTGATAAAACTATCTTCGGAAGTTAACAGTGCTTAAAACTAGTACAAACAGGCTCGCTGCTTGCTGCTAGTCGCTAGCTGATCTTAAGGTTGATATTTCATCGGTGCTACAGCGAAAGCGACGGAGTGACGTAACACTAATGAAAGGTTCTGATTGGCTGCGAGAAAAGAGGACTAGGGGAACTTCCACTGTATGTTCTCTACAGCCAATCAAAACCTCTTATTTGCGCTTCGTCGCCTTATCGTTGTAGTGCTAATGGAATATCGGCCTTCTTCTCTGTTCTAATGTAACGGACGACAAGTGAATAAATGGCGCGTTTTTTGATGATACTTGTCGCTACTTAAGAATGCACCTGTTCACATGAATGTTTCGCGCGAAAACCGTGCCGCATATGTGATTAGGGTGTTATTTAGCACTGTGTTGAATATTTATTTAATTATTTGTTAGACATCTAAGATTTATAATTAAATAGACGCAAGAATTATGAAGTGCACCATTCCTGAAATTTCGTGGCATAATCGCGACCCAGTATTGAGTATTGACATACAAAATGGGAATATTATTGGGCCGAACAATGAAGTTTCTTGGCGTCTGGCAACCGGAGGAGCTGATTCTCATGTTCTGGTAATTACACCTTAAATTTTACACAGAACTGCATATTAATGATATAAACTAAGTTTTATAGTTTCATTTGGAATATACATTCATTTCTAATAATATATCTATAAGTATATTATTTGTGATAGATTTGGCATTTAACCATCAATGAAGTAGGAGCAGCCGTAATAACGTGTGTGGCAGATCTTACACGTCATCAAAAAGCAGTGAACACTGTGCGTTTTTCACCGTCAGCAGATATTCTAGCTTCAGGGGATGACGGTCTGTAGATTTACATTTTTTTAGCAGTTTTCATTAGCACCCTTGAAAGAATACGAAATAAACTCAAGAATTGGTAATGATTACAGAGTCTGCCATCATATTATGGAAACAAAGGGAAGAATCTGAACTACCTCCACTTACAAATGATGAGACTCAAAATAAGGAACAATGGACCTCATGGAAAGTTCTCAGAGGCCATATGCAAGATGTATATGATGTTAGTTGGTCCCCTGATTCTAATTTTCTTGTATCGGGATCGGTTGACAATACAGCTATACTATGGGATGTTCAAAAAGGAAGAAGTATTTCCATATTGTCTGACTATAAAGGATTCGTGCAAGGTGTCTCCTGGGATCCATGTAACCAATACATTTGCACTATAAGTACAGACAGGTACTTTTATGATATATTTTATTCTATCATTTCACTATTATTTAAGCCCTGATAATAAATTGCCTTGGATCTTTCAAAAGTAAAAAATTCATCAGAATATAGCAAAAGTAGTATATAGGCATAATAGACATTTTTTTCATTTAAGCTGGGTGGATGAAATGACATGGTAATTTAACTTTATAATACTGTATGTTTCAGACAATGCCGCTTAATAGATGTGAATACAAAGAAAACTATTCAGCGTGTTCATAAAGCTAAAATTCCAACACCAAATGGTTCGTCCTTGGAGGGAAAAATGGTACGATTATTCCATGATGATACTTTCAAGTCTTTTTTCAGAAGATTAACGTTTACGATAGATGGTTCATTAATTATAGTACCCTCTGGTATTATTGAACCACAAGATTCAACTGAGAGATCACTAAATGCAACAGTAGTATTTTCACGATATAATCTGAAAGAGTGAGTAATTGTCAATGTAATTTTATTGAGACCATTTTTAAAAATTTGCATTATGTATTTTATGAAAGAATATGAATAGCAATGTCAAAAACGTTATAGTTACAGCATTTATAAAATTTCTTTTCTGACTTTAGACCTATTGCTATTCTGCCATCATTAAAAGAAAGTACCATTGCTGTCCGTTGTTGTCCACTTTTCTTTCAACTAAGGGAAGATGGACCTACATCAATGATAGCTTTACCATATAGAATGGTATTTGCTGTTGCTACACAACACTCGGTATTAATTTATGACACACAGCAAACATCGCCTGTTGCAACTATCTCTAATATCCACTATACTCGCTTGACTGATTTAGCTTGGTAAGTCATTTCAATAAGTTTTTATTTTTGTATGTATATATGTAACATTTGGAAAAGGACCATTTATTCTGATATGTTGAAGGTCATCGGATGGAAAAATGTTAGTGGTATCATCCACGGATGGTTACTGTTCAATAATAAATTTTCATGAAGGAGAATTAGGAAAAACAATTGAAAGAGAAGTGTTACCTATGAATAAATCTATCACTGCTGCAAACAAATCGTCAGTTTTGAATAAACAAAATGACAGTAAAATAAATCAAACTCAAAATGTACTTCTGGAACTGGATAACAATGCAATGGATATTGACATTGCAAGCATAAAATCAATTGAGTCAATTAATGGAAAGGAGGAACATAAAGAAATTGAAGAAAAAAAAGAAATTAGCAAGACTGAGATTAATGTCAAGCCAATTCAGACTTCATTAAAAGATAATAATTGCCATAACGACATTGAGGAGACTGAAGACATAAGACTCATATACAGTGATGATAGCAACACCGAAATCATAAAAGAAAAAAGTAAAAGTACTCCTTCTAAATTGGAAATTGAATTGGAAAATAATAAAAATACTCCACCGAAAGTAGAAAAACCACCTGTGCTTACAGCAAAAACTCCTCGTAGAGTACAACTGATTACATTATCAAGCCCTAAACGAACGAAAAAAGACTAAGTATACAAGAAACTCTAATCTGTTTTCAATGTAAATAAATGTATGCATACGTTAAGCTTCTAATTACTATTTGTACTTCTAAGGCAATATCATCACTTGATAATTGATAAGGAATAATTTGCAAAGCAATTAGACATTATAGTTGTATTTTATGAAAAAATATGAATTATATCACATTATCTGTGATTTGTAGAAATCAAATGGCTTGACTAGCTAGACAGAAAATTTGTATAAAAGAATGTAAATAATTATATTCTGTTTATCATACATGCGTATTATGCGGGAAACTTGCAACATATATTACATTATGAAAAGTATTTTGTATTTCACTGGTGAATATAATCAGTCAGTTTAAAGCGCAATTGATGAGAAATCAAAACGAATATCATATCAAGTTCTTTGCGAAGAACTTTTTCTTATCCACTGGATTTGGAATGATCTGAAAATAAATAAATATTTATTAAATATTTAAAGAAAACATTAGCTGCATAGATTATTAATTATTTAAACAGCTACTTTTGTACAAGTTTTTGCTGGAAATTAAAGTATTTGTTGATACAAATGGCTGTGTATTATCTTCACATCCGCATATAGTGGAAATATAGCAGTATTTGAAAGTAAACACAAAGCATTTCATATCTTATAATTCGTCTTTCATTTGGTTAAATATATAATTACACATATTTGCATTTATTCAATATTGAATTGATATTCATTGGTTTTATCATTATCAGGTGGGCTTAAGACTTCTACATACTTGATACATTTATTACTGACAATTTACTTTTATGATATGTATGTATAATAAATAGTTTGAAAAATAATCATCTAGATTTTAGCCATTAAAAATGTGCCATTAATAATTTGGTTAAAATATGTCATACTGAGTGATTTTAAATATATATTTTACTGTTTTACTTACGGTATCCTGTCCTGGTTTCCATCCAGCAGGACACACTTCTCCGTGTTCATCTGTATACTGAAATGCTTGAACTAATCTAAGCGTCTCATCTACGGAGCGCCCAACAGGAAGATCATTCATAGTTATTTGTCTTAATACTCCTTTGCCATCAATAATAAACAATGCACTAGGAATAAATATTGAGTAAATTATCTTATATTATCATTTTCCATTAAACTTTATCAATAAATGAACATTATTTCTGTCTATTGCATGCTTACCGCAGAGTGTGTCCCAGGTCTTCTAAATAGACTCCGTAATCCTTTGATATCTTATGTGTGAGATCAGAAAGTAATGGGATTTTTATTTTTTCAAGTCCACCTTCCTTTCGAGGTGTATGTATCCATGCTAAATGAGTAAACTGAGAATCTACAGAAGCTGCAACAACCTCGATATTCAAACGTCTAAATTCTTCCAATCGATCGGAAAATGCCAAAATTTCAGTAGGACACACAAAGGTGCTAAAATGGACAGGAAAACATTTGTCATTTAACGAACTTATTCTCACATTTAAAAGAAATTAGTTCCGATATACTTACAAATCGAGTGGATAAAAGAAGAAAACTAGATATTTCCCTCTAAAATCAGATAACTTTATCTCTCTGAATTCTCCATTAACCACTGCAGTGCCTTCCCAATAAGGAGCCTGTTTCCCAACTAAAAATTAATTTTAAAAAATTGTTATAAAAGAACAAGTATTTTGGAGCATACACAACTACTGTTCGAGATGTTTAAATATGTACCAAGGGGCAATTGTTCTTTTAAAATTATATTCGAGTATACCACGAAACCTTGAAGGATTACCACTGCTGGAATACAGCCAAGCATTTTGCCTAAACTACGCTATTATTACATAAACTACGAAATCGCATCACTTACTATGGATCTCGTTAGTCGAAGCTCCTCAGCACTACTATTTAAGGAAATCAAGAAACGCATTTACAACATTCAAAATGTCACATTGTAATTAAATAAAAACATGTATTATTCCAACTGTACATTAAATAATTAATTCAAGACCTTGAATTCTTCATTTACGTACTACTCATTATTATATTTCAAATGGTAAATTATATAGTACGAATCATCTTTCAAACTCCAATTCTTGAATATGCAGCAATATACAGTAATATAAATCTATGCCAACTGATAGATATTCGACATTTTAATTAAATCTTTAACATCTTCGTTTCCTGTCTTGATCGAGGAATTATAGGAACCAACTTACTAACGGCTTTCGTAGTTTGCAATTGATGGTCCGCATGTTTGGAGCCAGTTGGATAGACGCTACCACCTGCGAATGAATAACAGGCTTCGTTCTCGTTTAAACGCGAGATACACTCGATTTTCGTCAGAAATAGCACCGCGAGGACGCTGAAAGTACGGCCGGCACTGTGCCACATCATATCGAGTGATTTGACGACCGATGTCGGTACAATAAAATCCACTCACGTCCCGATAGAATTTGGTTTATTAGAAATTTACACAACTGCACGGTATCTTCAGTCAGCGCTACCACATTTAAAACGCGCCATTTCAAAAAAACTATTCGCCACCGACCGTGATCGGTTGACCACGTGACACGATGTTTAATGCGATTTAATGCCAGCAGATGGCAGTCATAGTCAAAGCGAAATCTACAGATGTTTCATGCGCTACAGGACATCTAGATCTAAATTAAGAGTAATAAGATCCAGTGAGACTGAATCAAATTACAGAAAACTGTTGTATCCACAGAATTATTAAATAAACGAATGAGATAAAACATTGTTCGTGGTAGGGTATACATAAAAACGGGAAAAGAAAGATGCCAGTTTTATAGCCATGTTCCAATATGTAGTTTTCGCGGGAGAATCTCAAAGTTTAAATTTCGTTTGGAAACTAAAACGATAGTTCTAATAATCTCCATGGTTTTAATAGAAAACAAATTACATTTTAAATATTGCTTAAGATAGCTAGGTTACTGTTCCTTTAATAATATTAATTGAATCGAAATAGACACGTTCGAATTCCATTAGTTAATTATATGATGTATGCAGTAAAATATGATGTTGATGATTACATAAGTCTTGCTGCAAAATATCGAATGATGTTTTTAAGTGTTTTGATAATTCTGATTATATGTGGCTTTAAGAATATTAGATATGTCAATCGGTTTCCTGATTGTAATCTTAATCCGATAGAGAGCAGAAGAAATCAAAATCAAGTGATTTAGATTTGTATGTATGCTCTTGAAGCAGGGTAACAATGATAAGTGTAGCAATTTTAAAAAAAGTGCTTCAAGGTCAGAAGGACACGTTTCATTTATATTATGGTAGGAATGTTTATATTCTGGTATCACTAAAATGTACAGAGTAAAGGAACTAAAACCACGCTTTCAGGCGTTTTGCAAATGATCCTATAAAATGGTTACAATGGTTTGGATCTTAAATAATTAGTAACCAGCCAGGGCTTTATTCGACGGCAAATATGATCTGATTTCTTGACAATGATCACGATCTACGTATAAGCTTTTTCTCTTAACAATTATGTTTTTCTCAATTTCTCGGCGAGTCTTTGCCAGCACTTCTGCAATTTCTACTGCACGTTTCAATTGATCTCTCATTGCTTTCACGCTTTCGGAAAGAATCTCCGTCTCATCCAGTAACCTGAGTATTTATACGCTGATAAAGTTTGTTTATAAAGATTCTTTTAATTAGTGCTCGTTGACAATTATCAAATAAAATAATGAAAAGACAAGGAGTGTCGTAATTCCAAAACCAAAAAACAAATAATTCCAGTACTATCTAAGCTTTCTATCAACATTCGGAAATGTCAGATCCTTACGACGAATCATTCTGTACATTTACAAAATTGAATTAAAATTGTACAGTTTTAATTTGTCTTCAAGAAGTATATGTAAATGTTTTTGAAAATCTTACCCACATTGAGGCACATCACGACAACTTTCAACGCCTTCACGACCCAATCTTAAGCAAAGTCGTGTTTGAACGCACTTCGTTGCTCCGTCTAAATTGTTTATTGCAACTCGCATTCTGTCCGCCAAATTCTCTGTTTCTGCTAAGGACTTTAGACACTGAAAATGGAAAAATGTTTAGAAGAAAAAAAGGATATTGCTTGAAAACAAATTGAAGTTGTTTCACTTTGGTCAATTCGCCTTCAAGACGGAGAAGAGATTGGATGTTGTCTTCAATTTTAGTGGCCAATGCGAGATCGACACGATCCGCTTGATTTCGAAGTTCACGTATTGATTTGTCGCTAATAAAGTCGAAACTGCATCGCAAGGTGCAGGACTCTTGTAAAATATTCACACCCTCTGTAATGATATCCTTGGCTAATCGCTCGTACTCCGCAGTCGTGGACTGACTTAACATGAAACGGAAATCATTTTCTTTATCGCAAATAATCAGTGACTCTTGTGGATCGATAAACATTGGACGAACGTTCTTTTTCATTAGATTAAAAATAAAAAATTCTTCAATTCTTACTCTTCTGGTACTTTAACCGCTTCGGATTTCCACTGCACCGTAGAGGAATTCTGTTTCAATCCTGAACAATCGCATTCGATGTCATAAGCAATACTTTTCCTCGACCAATCCTGTTGCAATTTAATTTTCGTATTTTTCAATTCCTTCAGCTGCAACTTGAAATCATCCTCTAATTTTTCGTACAGCCCGAGAATTTCACCGCAAAGTGCCAACTCCTGCAAACAAACTTCTCCGTTGATGAATTTCGAAGGAAAGCTCCAATATCATCGAGTCATTCTAGGGTAATTAAAATTGTACTGGTAGTTTCTTCTTGGCGAGGAAATCGCAGGAAAAGTTCTACAATTATTGACTCACTTTAACGTAAGTGGAATCGTACTGGCCTTAGTTTGCTCTTCATCCACTTGATCGCAAAAGAGGTCGGGTTCCATACGCGTGCATCTGACACGTAGCACGTCTTTTCCCAAAGTCTCTATTGCCTGGATCGCGTGTTTGCACCTACGAATGCGTCTTATTTCTTCATCGAGTCTCTGTACTTCGATTACTACTTCCGAAACTACCATTTCCTCTTCCGTTTTCCACTTGAAGACAATACGGGCTCTCGCTCGTAGACGAGATGTATTGTCCAACCAATTTCTGTCCTGAGCAAAAGCCTGCTTCAAGCATCGCTCCGCCGTAAATGCTACAAGCCTGTGATTATTTACCTTCTCAATCAAATATATACATAAACGCTTTTAAATGGAATATTTCCCTCCGTTGAAACTCCAGTCGAATTTCCATCTCGGTTAAGGGAATTAATAAAGTAATAAACGAAACGTAAAATGGTGATTACGAGGCCTCGCGAATGTTCTTTGAAGACTCCTTGTATAATTCCCCTTCAGAGGAATATCCTTCTGGCAAGCCATGTTTGCAGGAAAGAGGCGTTTCACAGGGAACTTCCGGAATCGCTTTTACAGGGTTCGAGGACAGTTCCGAGCAAGGGAGGTGAACCTCCTTCTCGAGTATCACCTTGCTGTCAGGATCTTCCTGAAAAATTGTTCTTAAGGGCAAAAGGTCTTTCGATCTTTTTCCTCCTTGTCTTCGGATTTTCCATCTTACCGTTGAGACGGGAATTTTATAGGGACACGGTACGTCATGTGGACATTCCTTTTTTGGCCAATCTGGAGCATTTCCTTCAGAGTCTTGCACCGACCTTAAGTGTGTTTTATCCAGACATCTTTCTTTTAGGTTTTCAGGAGGAGATGATTTTGTATCATCAGGACGTCGATCTGTTAGCTCTTCTAAATCGGGCACGTCACAAAATTGATAAACTACTGAGTAAATCTAAGTTTTATTAAAGTTGATTTTTGAAGGTTTCCTTTTCTTAACGAAAGCAACATTTTTTCTTATTTGTCATATTATAGCTATTTAATTGGCAAACCTGGAGCGTGCTTCTTGTTTTTATGTGTTGACAGATCTCCCTTCGTTTCGTGTAAATGTTTCTCAAGGATTCCTTCAAATTTTGAATATGTGTCTGATATGCAAGTATTGTGTTCGTTTAGACCTTCTGGCATATTTGCAGCTTTTTTGAGCTTCCATAAAAAATCATGTTAACACATTTGGTTATATGATAATAGTTGTAGATTGTACAAATGAATTTACCCCTTCTATGACTTCTTGGGTATTCAGTAATTGCTTAGAGATCCTTTTTGAGTTACTCCAATTTGAGTGAATTAAAGAAATTTCAGTGGTACAATATGATTAACTATTCGCGCAAAAAAATAGTAAATAACCAAATTCTTAATTATGTCTCGATTCAATCGTAATTGCACGTGTTCGTTAAATGTTAAAACAAATGACAGCGTTCACGGTACAATACACCGAACCGACATTTTAGCGTACAACATACATTACTGAATCTAAGATTGGTAAAACTTTCTCAAAAAAGAAAGGCAGATAAAGGGAGAACTTCCCTTTATCTGCCATTCTTTTTTACAGTGTCGTATTAATCCCTGACTATTGTTTATAAAAATACACCTCACTCTCTACAGCAAGTTAAAACTGAATTTAAAATTATCTAATAAAGAATGACCTTTTCAACATTTACTTATCTCTTGCCCTTGCATGTTGCAAAAACGCCGAAAACTCAACCCACTCAATATATTAATCATAATCTTCACTATTTATTAAAACATTAAGAAAAAATACAACGTTAATAGTTATATAAACCCTGTAAAAGTTAGATGAGAGATATATAAATTGTGTATATAAAGAAAGTTATATAAATGGTGTAAAGTTTAAAAGAGGTATATAGAAATCGTGCCTGTAAAGAAATAGAAAAATGAACAATAATGAATTTCCGCACACACATTGCCACATTGTAATTTATTTGCTATGAGTGAGGTGAGACTCTAATGACCGGAAAGGGCTGTAGCCGAAGGATAAAAAGACCTCAGCCATTGTCCTCGATCGCGATCAACGTACAGAGATCTTTTCTTCACCATAATTTCCCTTTCCAAATCGTTCCTTGCTTTCACTAATCCGGCTTGAGCTTCTTCCGTTTCCCTCACCTTTTCCCGCATCTTCGATATATTTTCAGCAAGAATCCTGACCTCTTCTATTAGCCTGTTTAAAATCATCCAATGAATGGGTACTTTAAACTCCCATATTTTGTAACAATCAAAAGGAAAAAAAATGTAAAAATGTCCCAGGGATTTACACGAAGTATTGCGCCTAAACTACTTTATCGAAACATTTTTATATCTTCTCTCTGTCTCTACATGCCGAAGTTTTTACTGCAGCGAGTAATTTTTCCCGTGCAAACAAAAAGGCGTTAAAAGTGTACTAACCCAGCTTGTGCAGCGTCCCGACAACTTTCAACATTTCGCCGCTGAAGACGATCGTCTAAACGAGTTTGCACTAGTTTCATCGAGTAATCCAAACGTTTAGTGGCCTCACGAAGGTCTGTTAGAAAATTCTCCACGTTTGCTAATTCGTGCAAGCACTGTAATACATTAAATTTAAACATGGAGGCAGTGAAAGTAAATTATCTTGTTCCCTAATGACCATTACCGTTAAAA